GTGGGAATTGGGATAAAAGGGAGCGGGAATGGGGGATGGAAAAGGGAGAGGGATTTGGGAGCGGGATCTGGGATGAAAAGGGGAGAGGGGATGGAAAAAAGAGGATGGGGAAGGAGAAATGGGGAAAAGAGGGGGACAGAAAGTGGGGAACAGGGAAGGGAATGGGACACGTCCCCTATCAGGGCYCCCCAGCAGGGATTTGGGGACAATCCCTGGCAATGTCCCCACCCCGTGTCTCCGCAGGCCTGGGACCTGGGCAAGGGGCTGCGGCTGCCGCAGGTGACCCAGTCAGGTGTCCTGGTGCTGGCCCTGACCCTGCTGTCCTCCGCCGCCCTGGCCTCCCTGTGACCAGCAATTCCGGGAATTAATCCGGGAATTTTTGGGATTCCGGCAATTTTCAGGATTCCGTGAATTTTTGGGATTCTGGTAATTTTCGGGATTCCGGTAATTTCGGTAATTCCTCTCCATCCCCTCACATTTCAGGGAAGGTTCCTCTTCCCCCTTAAAATTTGGGATGAGCAGAGCTGCCCCTCCCACCCCACYCCCTCCCYGTGTCCCCRCGTGTCCCCAAGAGGGGACAATACGGGATTTGTGTCCCCGCGAGTGGGATCGGCACCGCGTGTGTGGGATCGCAGCGGGACAACGAGCTCCATTGAGCCCGGAGAGCCACGGGGGTGGGTGACAGGTGACATCGCGCTGCCACCCCGCTGCCACCCCGCTGCCACCGCTTGGGATCCCTCGGGAATTCCGTGATTTGATTTTGGGGGAAAATTTTCGATTTTTGGGGAAAACTTGCTGGGTTTTTCGGGGTTTTTTTGGGGGTTTTTTTGTCAGAAAGGGATTTTTCTGTGTGTTGTCACCTGTCCCTTGTGGAATAAAGCAGCTTTGATCATCCCACCCCTGCCTCTGTCCCCTATCCCAAAAATGGGGTTTTCTTTTGGGATTTGGGGAATTGCTGCTTCCTGGAGGAGCCCGGCATGCAAAAATGTGAAAAAACATGGAAAAACATGGAAAAACATGGAAAAACATGGAAAATCATGGAAAAACATGGAAACACATAGAAAAACGTGGAAAAAGCCAAAATTTGCAGCTCTGGGAGGGGCTTTGGGGTCAAATTTGGGGGATTTTTAACCTTTGGAAAGAAGACACTTCCCACCTCCGCGTGGGAAAGGATCCTCCTGGGAAAATCCTGGAATTTTGGGGAAAATCTGCTCTCCTGGGTGGGATTTGAGGTGGGATCCCCAATTAATCTCCTGTTAATTAACAGACACCTCCCCTGGGGTCAGGGATGAGGAAGAAGACAGAGCAGGGC